ACCCTTCTTTTTCCTTGTTTTCTTTGCCTAATGAGATGACTGGTATAATATTTATGAGATTCTCCAAATGTAATGTTACAATACATTGAGATATGCACATATTTCTGTCATGTATTGAAGCTATAACAGAAAATGTGACACTAAGATGTAGGAAAATAAAATAACAGAAGTTGCAAAACTAAGACAAAATATTTAACCATACTAGGAATATATTTACTGAGACTGGACAGCAGCAAAAAAAACCCTGATATTTGAAATAAAAATTATATGCTCTACTTAGTTGAATTTGATAATATTAGTGAAATAAATGCAATTAACCTGATTATTTGGAAATAACACACTTCTCTTTTGTGAACAAGTTTAAAGGGAAACCAGTGTTGCTGTAGGAAGATTATTTTTTATATTTGTGGTGCTTAATAAGTTGGCAAGATAGAATTGCTAATGAAATTTTCATGCTTAAAGTTTGCAGAGCAAGTGAACATCTGTGCCTTAGATATACAAATCAAAGTTTCTATCACGAACATCTACTATCCTTCAATTTTACCATGTTAATGTGAATCTCAGTTTTAGTAGCTTTTAGAAGGCTCCACTTCATTTTACATCTTGCTCCTGATTATTGATTTGGAGTAAACAATTCTAAGCATGTCTCTTGTAAAAGGCAATATTTTAGAAAATCTACTAAACTAACATAAGATACTTTTGTGCTCATTTTTTTGTTTCCTAAGACATAATGAAGTCCAGTGTTTACATTTCTGTCTCACAGTTGACATGTCAGGCACAGTCATATATTTAAAACACAATAGAGATATGAGGCCAAGATAGATGTGCTTAATCTTGTCCACCATAACAACAACAACACACACACACACACACACACACAATGTAAAGTTAGCTATTTCTGGTAACACCTTTTATTATTTATAAGGCATATGATGAATATAAAACTAATTTTAATATAAGAAAATTATTAGACATTTAATGTATATTAGAAAAATAAATGATACAGAATCAATAAGTAAATTTCTACACTGAGAAACAGAAAAGAGACTTAAATTCAAAGTCAGTGGAAAAAATTAAAATAAATTAAAGTAGAAATCAATAAAATTGAAACTCAGAAATCAATAGAGAACTTGACAAAATCAATGGAGATTCTTGGAAAAATCAATAAAATTGGTGAGCACTAGGTTAAGCAAACTAAGAAAAAATAAGGACAAAAATAAGTAATATTAAAACTGAAACAGAGTACATCAGTATATATCTGCTGGATATTGAAAAGATAATAAAATAATGCTATGAAAAAATATATCTCCACAAATTTGATAGTGTAAATGAAACAGCACTTCTTTGAAAGATATTATCTGCTAGTGCTTGCACAAGAAGAAACAGACAATGTGAATAGAACTATTAATTCTGGAAGTGTTTTCATGGAATTGAGGGGTCTTGTATGTAGAAGATCATGTCATCTGCAAATAATGATAATTTGACTTCTTCCTTTTATATATGCATTCCTTTTATGTCTTTCTCTTGCCTGATTACTCTGGATAATGTTTTGAGTACTACATTGAAAAGAAGTGGTGATAGTGGACATCCTTGTTTCAGAGGGGATGCTCTCAAGGTTTTTCCCATCTAATAAGATGTGGGCCTTTGATTTGTCATAAATGGCTTTTATCAGATTCATATAAGGTCCTTCTTTACCTATTTTCTTAAGGGTTTATATCATGAATCATTGTTGGATTTTGTCAAACGCTTTTTTCTGCATCTGTTGATGTGATTATATGGTTTCCATCCCAATGTCTGTTTATGTGGTGTATTACTTTTACTGATTTGTGTATGCTGAACCATTCTGCAACTCTGAGATGAACCTACTGGATCATTCATTATGCACAATACATTTCATGATTTGTAGTGTTCTATTTCCCAATAGCTTATTGAAGATTTTTCATCTCTGTCTACAGGGATTGACCTGTAGTTTTGTTCTTCGGTTGAGTCTTTGGTTTTGGGATCAGAGTGATGCTGGCCTCTGGCACTTCATTGAAGAGCTTTAAGAGCACTGGTGTTAGAGCCTCCTTAAAGGTCTTGTAGAATTCAACAGTGAATTCACTAGGTTGTGGGCTTTTCTTAGTCGATTGATTTTTTTTTATTGCTGCTTCAATTTCATTGCTTATTATTGGTTTGTTTAGAATTTTTATCTCTTGGTTTAGTTTTGGTAATTCATATGAGTCAAGGGATGTACATTTCTCCAAAATTTTCCAATTTGTTGGAGTACAATTTTTCATAGTAGTGATTATTTTCTGAATTTTGGTTGCAACTATTGTGATTTCACCTTTTTCATTTCTAATTGCATTGATTTGTGTCTTTTATCTATTTTTTGGTAAGTTTGGCTAACAGCTTATCAATTTAATTTATTTTTGCAAAGAATCATCTCTTCCATTTATTGATTCTTTGTATAGTTTTAACCTCAACTTTGTTAACTTCTACCCTGATCTTTATAATTTTCCACTTTAAACTAGATTTGGGTTTGGATTTTTGTTGTTTTTTGAGTATCATGAGGTTCATCAAAGGTTATTTATTCTAGCTAACTTTGTTTTTGTATGGTGAGCACTGACTGGATTGTACTTGCAAATAAATTGCAAGATTTAGAAATGTTTGTCTTCTAGTACAAGATGAAGAAACAGAGCATTGGATAAGAGCACAGTTGTGTCCTGACATCCTTTTCCTTTTTCACAAATGACACTCTCTTTTTATACTCTTGTTCTCTATAACTCTCATAATTATCCATTCGTAATTTTCATCATTTTCTCTGGCAATTTTGGTCAGCCTAATGCAATAAAGTCCTTGCTTGCATTTGATTAATTATTTTCTGGAGGAGTAGCTTTCTGTTTTTACAGTCTTAATAGAAAAAGCAAAAGTTAAGTTTAAGGCAGGGGATTTATCTCAGTGGTTCTGCCACCTGCCTCTCAAGCGCAAGGTCCCAAGTTCAATCCCCAGTACCAAAAAAAAAAAAAGATAAATTTATTACAGTTTGGATATTGATAGCTAGCAAAGAAAGGGAAGCCTTAGAGAATAATACTCTGTAGGATGGTTATGGCTTACATCATACTGTCTTAAAATATTCCCCTGAGAATGTAGAGTGGCATTTTTCATTACCTTTATATATAGAGACTACTATGAAAAAAGGATGAGGATACTTCATGATAATACACGAACTCTTCTAACAGGTAAGCAACAATTTATCTCTATTTTTTCATATAGAAAGGCATTATTAAAAATTTATCTAGCTTAATTTTCAAATTTAATTCCATAGGTCTCATGAATACACTATTCTCACTTATTCTGAAAAAGAACAGAAAAAAAGAACAATCCAAATTTTGCTTTATGAGATTACTATTAGTATAGAAAATAATTGAATATGAACTGCTGTTAGAGGGAAAAGTAAACTTCGAATCTCAAATTGCATTTTATAAGCACCAGAATTTTGAATGCCATTATTGCAGTACAATGTGGGAAATGAGGGATGGATACACTATTCCTTTAGAATTACTACAATGTATTAGATTATGGCATATAGAAAAGCTTATCCATGCTTTTGAATTAAGTAACTGGGCAAGAGAAGTCCTCTTTAGGTACTGTGGGTACCATTCCTACTTAGAAACCAGCAAAAGGGCAATGGAGATTTTGACTGTGACAAAGCTTCTGTTGAATAGAAGCCTTTTCATCTCCTATTGATAACTCTGAATAGAATGTTGTGTATTGAAGAATAAAATTTACTACTGTTTGTCTCCTAAATTGTATCATCAGAGAATAATTTGTAGTTGACACACTTCTCAAACTTATTTTGAAATGTTTTCTTTCTGTTGATCAGAGCAAATATGAATCATTTTATAGTATAGACCCTATATAGTGGAAGTGATAGACAAAGTGGCATGTATGTAAGAAGGGAGTTTATGAAAATACTTGGGTAACTTCCCTTTTCTTCAATGTTTGTCCCTGCCCAGGGTTCTTCTGCATGTCATATTATCCATGCTTGTTTCTCCACAGTGCTCCCATCCCCTTACAAATTGTATAGAGAGCAATAACAGAATATTAATTCTATGACATTTGGAGCAATAGGGTATACAAAGTATAGACGATAGTATTGAATTCTCTGGTGACTTTGGAATCTCATGCCAGGGAAATGTTTAGAGCCTCTCCTGACCAAATAGCAGGAATCATAGTATTCAGGTGCATAAAGAAAGGGGCCTGGGGCTTAGGACATCACTCGTAAGGAGATAAATCAAGGGAGATGACACACTAGTCTTCCCACAGAGAATGGCTCCTTTGTGCCCAGATGTAAAATGAGGGCGGTGACTCTGCACAGATAGAGTCTGAGTCAGGGAGGGCTGCATGGCATAGGAGGGAGTGCTCAGGAGAAGTAGTGCTTCTTACAGTGGCCTCGGCGATGTAAAAAGGACACAGGGATGGGGCCACCTGAAACTGCTCCACCTGAAACTGCTCCACCTGAGTGCATATTCCACACTCTGCTTCCAGCACTTCTGTTACCCCTATCAACACATCTTCTCTTTCTTATCTGTTTTACAAATATAGAATTAAAACAAGGGTCCCTGTATGTTTTTATATTTTAAAATGAAGGGAATAAGATTGAATTGTATCTCGATTTTACATTGATTAAAGGGGCAGATTTATCATAATATGTGACACTGAAAACGGTTGTATCCGAGACTTTCATAGGAAAGCATCAGATCCATAACTTTATTTCTGTCTAATACACAAAATTGAGTAGTCATTAACAATTGATGATTGATGGTGACTTATAAGAAACCGTAGACAGAATGCACCAGTAAATAACATTATCATTGTTTTAAATATTGCATAATCTCACAAAGCACCATAAATTATTTTGCTTAAAATATTTTATAAACTCTCAGCACAACTGAATGCAATCCATTATCTTTTGCAGATGAGCCTTTTTGCATTTTTACTTTCTCCTCATTCATGAAGCTATGCAGCTGAGCAATAATGTGACTGAGTTCATTCTACTTGGGTTGACACAAGATCCTGTTAGGAAGAAAATAGTTTTCATCATTTTTTTGGTTTTCTATGTGGGGACACTGATGGGTAACTTGCTGATTATCACCACCATCAAGACCAATCGGGCACTTGGGAGTCCAATGTACTTCTTCCTTTTCTACTTATCCCTATCAGACACCTGCTTCTCCACTTCCATCGCCCCTAGAACGATTATGGACACCCTTGTAGAGCAGGCCACTATTACTTTCAGTGAGTGCATGATCCAAGTCTTCTCCTTCCATTTCTTTGGCTGCCTGGAGGTTTTAATCCTGATCCTCATGGCTGTGGACCGCTATGTGGCCATCTGTAAGCCTCTGCACTACACGACCATTGTGAACCGCAGGATCTGTGCAGTGTTTGTGGCCGTGGCCTGGGTGGGATCCGGTGTGCATTCTTCAGTTCAGATTTTTCTGGCCTTGAGTCTGCCTTATTGTGGTCCCAATATGATCGATCATTATTTCTGTGACCTGGAGCCCCTATTGGAACTTGCCTGTGCAGACACTTACGTGGTCAACCTGCTCCTGGTGTCCAATAGTGGGGCCATTTGTACAGTAGGCTTTGTCTTGCTGATGTTCAACTATGTTGTCATTTTGCATTCTCTCAGAAACCACAGTGCTGAAGGGAGGAGAAAAGCCCTCTCCACCTGCATGTCCCACATCATTGTGGTCATCTTGTTCTTTGTACCTTGCATATTTATTTATACACGTCCTGCCACCACCTTCCCCATGGATAAGATGATAGCTGTGTTTTACACGATTGGAACACCTTTGCTCAACCCTCTGATTTACACACTGAGGAATGCAGAAGTGAAAAATGCCATGAGCAAGTTGTGGAGCAAGAAACTGATCTCAGTTGATGTCAGATGAAAGGAATTTAGTAAACTTTCTTCATAGTTTTTGGATTGACCTAGAAGTCAAGAGAAAGTACTATTTTCTTATAGTGGATTTAATCTATCACCACATGGCGCTATGAGTGTTAGGTTTTACTGGAAAAGAGAAATTATGAACATATATACTGGTTCATTTGTTTTGATTTTATGCATAAGAACTAACATGAGCTAAAAACATATATGTAAGCACAGCTGCCTTAAATGTTGTTCTCTGTTTGTGTCTATCTCTCTCATGTGCCTATTGTCAATGGTGATTTTTTTCTAGTTTATTTCTCTGCACTTTTTATGTTGATGCCTGGTGTTCTCTGCTTTGCTGTGGATGTCCTTCTGTAAGCTCATGCACACTCACAAACACACACACACACTGCTGTTTTACTTTCTGCCAACACTTCTTTGTGAGACACTTCTGATCATGTGGTTTCACTCAGTTGTTTTTCCTGACTCTGCACAATGTATCTGATTTAAACAATGGTGCGAGCTTCACTTCATTATGAGACAACGTGCAAAGAAATGTGCTAATACATGGGTATTGTTCTTAGGATTCTTCCCACATGTTTACTAAAAGCCAACTAAAACAATGACAGCATGGGAAGAAAATTTACCCTTATGATAGAATTCTTTGACATTGAGAATATTTAGCTAGTTGTTTTGCTAACCATGGCATCATCTTTGTCAAATATACTTTGTGCTTTTTATTTGATTTTTCTAATTTGTGGGAGTGACATGATTTCTTTTAAATCATACCAACTTTAAATACTTGTTTACAATATGGGTTATTATGATTGTAGCATAGATGGCTCTTATGTACTATTATATATATATTTATTTATGTAAATGGACTACAAGCTGCGTATGCAAACAATTGATATTAATGAGCTTTAAAATATTAACACATTAGAAAAGAATAAGTCAGAAGATTTTTTAGGCATTGTAATACATATTTATAAAAACATATATGAAATATTCATTGTATTTCTCAATTAGTCAATACTGCAGACAGTAACAACAACAAAAATAAATAAATAAAATCAATAGTTGCTAAGGGTTCAGGAAAAGGAGAGAAAGAAAGAGTACTGTATATTTCAGGGCAGTGAAACTAATCTGTATGGTACTGTAATGGTAAATACATGACATAACAACTTTGTCAAAACCCATCAGACTCTATTAGACACTGAAAATCCTAAAGTAATCTGTGAATTTCAGTAAAATATATTGACTCTGACTTATTAGTTACAACAAGTATATCTAATGTAACCCAACCATGCAAAATATTACAATCAGGGAGCCTGTTTAGATGTTAGGGTGCTCACAGTGAAATTTCTGCCTAAACATGAAACAGTTCCAATAATGAAGTTTATTTTAAAAAGTTATGCTCACAACAGACAGCCTAGACTTCTATTGTCATTTAAAAATGATTTATTTGAATTTTTAAATATATTTATGGTATGAATACATCTTCTAAGTCACATATTGATACAGTCAATATCCCCAGCAGTTTAACCTTAAGGTGTTATATAAGTACCATTAATGAATAAACTGTTATATTTTCTCTATGGCATTTTTAAAGCCATAGAGCATCAGTTTGAATATTGGCATTCATCTTGAGAAGTCTGCATTAAAAGTTTATCTACATTTCACAGAATAATCTTTGTATGTTTAAATTTACATATCTAAAATTGTTTTTACATTCTTGAATTTTTAATTTTTCTTTCCGCCTCATGGATAAGTCATTGTGAATAAATACAAAAGAATGTATAATTTTGTAAAGTGTTGTCATTTCCAATACTAAAATAGGTTTTAGCAATCCTAATATGTGTGCAGCAAGGTATAGACTGGAAAACATGAAACAACTGAGAGAAAAAGAAAAACACAAAGAATTTTCTCCTTATAACTAATAGAATATGCCCCCAAATCAGCAAAGATATAGAACTCAAAGCCAAATACCAATTGTCATCTTTTGAACAATCCATTTAACAATAAGAGTACATATTATTTTTACTTACTAAAACAACAATAGCAACAAGAAGTACATATCAAGATAGACCATATGGTGTACCATAAAATTTGTTGATGGAATTTAAAATGTTAAATCATAGGAAATGTACTTTTTAAATGGAAGGTAAATACATTAAAAATGAGTGACTAGACAGTAACAGGAAAATTTCCAAACACTTGAAACTAAAGACGCACCTAACTCATCCTTAGATCAAAGAGAAGATGAAATTTCAAAAGAATATAATGAACTGAAAGAAAATGAAAACAGCATATTAAAACTTGTTCAGCACAGTGAAAACAAGACTGAGAAGGGAATTAATGGCATTAAATGTGTTGTACCCAGTGAGAGAGAAACAACCAGAGACCGATATTAAATCCACACAGGAGTTTACTACCGGCCGGGACCCGAGCTGAGCATCGGACTCGAGCCCCAACTGAGGGGAGACAAACATGTTTTATACACCTTTGAGGCCAACAGTTTCTAGGGCCCCCTATGGGATAGAACTAGCGAAGCAAGCAAAAGGTACAGAAGCAGAACGTCCTGCTGTTAGAACATTTGTAAAACAATAGTTAATTGTTGTTTCTAAGAGACTCTCTAAGGGGAGGAGGTTTCTAAGCTTCCTCCTTCTGAGTTCATCTAAAGGGCAGGCAGGTGGGTCAAGCAGCAATATGGAGTCTGTCTTGCTGACTAGGGTCCTTCAAAATGCATATATTAAAAAGAAGAATCTGAAATAAGCATTTGTTAGATGGTATAACCAGTAGGACTGTTGATTCAGCAGAAAGGATTGGTTAATTTGAAGATTAATCAATAGAGTATTGGAGAGTGAAAATATTTTTGTAAATAAAATAAAAATATCTTTCTAAATAACATAAAAATATCTTTCAAAAATAAACTGAGACTCATTAAATGAATTTTAGGTTTGCAGCAATTAATCTAAACTATGAGAAGTAGTATTTGGGAATAAAAAGGGGACATATACAGTGCAGAAAATATATTTTATGGAATATTTGAAATATATCAATGCTTAAATACAAGTATCAATGGTCCCTATGAAGGAAAATAAAAATAAGCCATACATAGGGACATAGTTAAAAACCTGAATAATAATTATAAACAACCTTAAAATTATGAAGAGACAAAAGTTCAAATAATATCACATTATATGTAAAGGAAAAAAGATAACTATGAGTGATTTTTTTACCAGAAACTATGGGAGATTATTATCAAAATGAAATTACACTGAATAGAAGAAAAGAGAAATAATGTCAAAACAGAATTCTGTATGAAGTTAATAACCTACAAAACTGTAGCTAAAATAATAACCTTTTCAAATAATGAAAACTAAGATTCATGGTCAAGGAATTTTATCATGCTGAAAAGTTCCCAATTAGAAATTCAGAACTCCAGGAAAAAAGTAGAGAACTATAATATCTATTTATATGTAATGTTTCCTTCCTAAATCCTTTAAATACAATTGGTTAACTGATGCCAGAAAGTAATGAATTCCTTTCCAGTTTTGGCACACAGAACTTTTAGCAGAAAAATATATGGTAATTAAAGCACACATCACAGGACAAATGTAAATGCAATAGTACTTTTAATGTGATTATAACACAAGTAATGTGTTACACTTTGGTTTCAGTATAAAATGTGATAGCTATACCTATGAATATACATTAAATTTATATTTATTATTAATTACAATGATATTTTGTTATAACCCCAAATGCTTACTATAAAAAAAATCAACAGATAAAATTTTACAACCCAGAGTGGTCTAATCTCCAGTTCAACATGCAACCTGCTGGAAGTCACCATGCCATCCTCACAACAATAGAATATAAATAATCTTGTAAATAGACAATTTTTTTGTGGATCCATAAAAGAAGTGAAACCGCAGGATGTTTCATACTGAAGTTGACCCCATCAATTAACTATCACAGGATTTTTATAGATTATTTTCTTTATTGAGAAGAAGTTTTTAGTTTGCTGTAGTCCTCAAGTCTGAGATTGACGTAATGGGCATCAAGTCATTCGGAGGACCCAGAATTTTTGTGTTTTACCTTGTGGGGATCTATGAGTTTCTCAAGTAAACACTTAAGAAAAATCCCCTGTGCTTCGGGCAGAGGGAAGACAGAAGGATTCATTTTGAAATGCAGCATTTTATTGGGGTAAACAACACACAGGACA